TTTAACTTTACTAGTTCTACCCCTCTTAAAGATTATGGACGGATTGACCCTGAGTGGTGTAATTTAACGTATCCAGTAATAAACGAAAATAAAACCGTGCGAGCTGAAAGTTATATTGGAATGTATGCGAGATCAGGGATATATTATTATTGTGGAGGACAGAGAATGTCTGTGCGCATCCCTATCAATGCTATAGGAGTCTGTGCCATGACTAGATTGGCAGTTCCCTTAATGATAATAGGAAGCAAAACCGCTCGTGCAACTCCAACTACCCCAGCAACATTAACAGCGCGACGAAGGCGTCATGTCCTGATGAAACGAGACACTGCGGACCTCTGGGACATGACCACTAATTCCCAGACTTATATAGATGCTATCGGGGTACCAAGAGGTGTACCTGACCAGTACAAACTAGTTGATCAAATTGCGGCCGGTTTTGAGAATATTCCGATTCTTTCAGCCATATTTCCCATAACCCCTAATAAGAACGTAGATAGGATTAATTTCATTCATTTAAACGTTCTTCGATTAGCTAACCTGACCAGAGATGCAATAGAAGGCCTCTCTGAGCAATTAGCACCGACATCTCTGATGGCCGTCCAGAATCGTATGGCATTAGACATGTTGTTAGCAGAAAAGGGCGGAGTTTGTGCAATGTTCTCCAGTTTTTGTTGTGTGTTCATTCCAAACAACACGTCGCCGGATGGGAAGGTCACTAGGGCCTTACAGGAACTCCGAACCTTGTCCGAAACGATGCACGAGCAGTCAGGAATAAACAATCCATTGGGGGACTGGATGACCCRGAYGCTTGGACAGTGGAAGGGTGTGGTCATGTCTGTTTTGGTATCCCTTGGTGTTTTTATTGGTATTGTAGTAACATGTGGTTGTTGTTGTATCCCGTGCATTCGATCTCTCTCTGTTCGACTGATCACAACTGCTATCGAGAGAGGGGAGATTAACAAGGGGATCATGATGCCTCTTTTGACCACAGCAGGGACGCCTTTAGACTCTGAAGTGGTCCTGGAGGACACATGGTATTGATCTCTGTGTTAGCAGAKATCAAGAGAGGGATTGTAGAAATGTGGAACACTTTTAAACTTTATTTTATGTTCTGTTAATAATCAGTTCATCTTGTATCCAAGGGGTTCAAAATCAGTAACTTGTCACTGTTTAAATTTCACTGTGTGTGTGCGTCACTCTGGTCAAAAACATGTTTGAGGAACAGGGTCAAACTCTGGGTTCCTTATCGTTTCAAGGCTGTGCAGATAAATGGAACAATGGCGAGCAGGAGGCCGGCGTGACCACCTGCAGCGGTCTGATAATGTATTATTCTCTCRTAAGTTACGTAAGGAATGGAYTTGATTATAAAAGCTTAGAATTACAGAAGTTAGATGAGATGCTGCTTTGACTATCACAAGGGAAGTATCGGTCCAGCACTCTCCCAGATTTGCAAATCTGTTCGGTGGGTTTTTACATGTAATCTTTAATAAATTCTGTTAAAACTTTAAAGGTGTCTCCGACTAAATCCCTCCAAAATCCCAACGGACCTGGGTAAGAGCACTGGCTCTTAACACTAGGTAAGGGGCTGAACGCAGGTTCAGGTGGGTTGTCGTACGGCTTGTGACATCACAAAATGACAGAAGTATAAAACTTTTCATTAAAACACATTAAAAATACATTTACTAACAGTAAATATGCCCCTGGGAGCATTTTTTTGGTCCTAGGACTGTTTTTTTTAAGAAGTACATACCCAAAGTTGAGTAAAAAAAAACTTTAAAAAGTGAATTTTGCATAATAGCTCCCCTTTAATTGAACGTAATAAAATAAAAATAAACAAAGTTATATCCAAAGTAAAAAAAGAGACACTAGAACTGCAAAGCAATTATGACCAGGGTCCAAGCCTGTCCACTTTGGTGCATGTTGTCCTGAGCACACTGCCGACATGTGCATCACAGAGTTGTAACATCATAGAATCTCACATTAATAAAGTTATCCTTTTGTAAAATTGAAGTTTTAGAATTGAATTTCACATTAAATGTGTCAAAAAGGAGCATAAACCCAACAAACAGCAACAATTTGTGCACACTTGCCAACTGAATAGGATCTAAGCTCATTTTGTTCAGGAGTTTGCAGCATCTCTCAGCTGCTGTTTGTGATGAGACTCAGACAGGAAGTGGTCTTCACGTCTCATCCAGCCCATCGTGTGCCGATAAAACTTGCAGAAAAGTTCTTCTCCAAATAAATGAAGAACTCTGGGACATTGTTCTGTCCTAAACGTTACTCTAAGGCCATTTCATATTTTTGGAGGACGTTTTTATTTTAGCGAGATGCGTATCAAGGCTCCCTTCCACCCCACCTTCTCTGTCAGGAGAGGAGCTCAGAGCTCACCCTGCGTGCCTGTTAACAGGTAACAGCAGGTACAGGAAGTGACATTGGCCAAAACACCTCAGAAACTCACCCAAATAAGCAAACGTGAGATTCAGCGTTTTATACTGGATAACTTTGGTTAATTCTGCGATTCTGTCTGTGTTTCATTAACCACTTATAAACAGAAGTGGAGCAGGAGAAGGTGGATTCTGATTGGCTGTTGTCACGCACATTTCTGCCATGTTTGATCGAGTAAGAGGCTCACAGCTGATCACCGTGATCGACCTGAATTTTTTCTCGATCAATAATCGCGATCAAATAATCGCCCAGCCCTAAATGACCCTATGAAATCTATGATCATTTACTCCTACATTTACTCTCTTTTTGTTTTGGTCAGATTTAAGGACAACTCATACTCAACAAACCATAATTTCAGTTAATTCATATTTAGTTACATCACTAGGCAACTGCTCCAGATCATCTCCAACAAAAAATACATTAGTGTCATCTGCAAACAATACAACTTTCATGTTGTTGGTTACATAAGATTTATGTAATTTATGTCATAATCTGTCTCTGTGTTCTGTCTCCCTCTTGTGCTTTCTTCATAAGAAAGACTATCAAATGGCTTTGCCAAACTCTGGTCCACAAAATTCAAACTGTCTGCCATTATGTGCAGCTTGCTACTGGTGTGAGGCTGGTGTGAAGTGTGTCTGTCTGTGAGTGCTTTGTGACGGTGTAGGGGCTCAGCAGCACCCACTGGACAGAAACTGCGATAGAAGTCTGTCTCGAAACACAAGCAGCTACAAAAAACCACCAGAAATAGAAGCTCAATTTGTCGCTAGTCGCTTTTAACAAAGAAAATGCTGCTAAGAGGATTAATAAAGTCTCCGGTTCAACTCAGAACAGAATGAAAACTAAAAACTGCTCTCACAGATGTTTACACCAAAAGATCTCTGATTCGCTCATTTTGCTGTCAATCAAAAGGGGATTCAGCCTCAGACAGATCATCCAATCATCATGCAGAAGCTGAGCATCCGGGCCGACTGAGGCCAGCCCACTGCCCCATAGACCCCCAGAGATGCTGAGCGTCTGATGGGCTTTAATGACTCGTCTCGTTTCGCTGCACTTTTTGCTTCGCTACTGAACTCTGTGGAAGCTCAGCATCTGCTCTGTTTAAGCACTGTGAAGGTGCAGGAAAGATTGAGAGAAAAGCCACGTCGTTACCAGTGATAAGAAGCTGATTCTGAACAAAAGTTGAGCTTGTTGTAGCGCATATTAGTCAATGACACGAACACACAACAGTGCATATTTGATCACTTATTTTTGAAATTTTAGGGGAAGCTGAGCTTCCCTTGCAGTCTTAGAGCAATCGCCTCTGTTTAGCCCTGTTTCTTCCCCAAAGTTACTACCACATTTGTCTTTTAATTTAATAAAGATTCTTTATTTATATCCTGGAGTTTGCCTGCACCCTTGGAGCCAATCTTGCCCTAAACCTTACAGTTTATGTATATAATGAATAATTTAGGCCCCAACACTGAACCCCAAGGAACCCCACAAGCAATGTCCAAACATTCTGAGGCAACATTTTCATAGTTTTCAGTTTTTTTCTTTTTTTCTTTTGACCCAATTTAACACAGTCCCTCTAATCCCATATCTTATCTGTTCAGTTTATTTATTAATAAATCATGATTTATTGTATCAAATAACATTTTTATATCTAGAAATACTCCTGCAACAAGTTTCTTATTATCAATTGCTGATGTAATTTCTTCTATAGATTCCAGTATGCTAATGTTGTTGATCAGTGTGGTCTGAATCTGTATTGACTTTCTATAGCTGTGTTTCCATTGACCATGAAAATGCGCAAATTAGAATTTCGAAAATAAATTTGCTCAATGGAAACACGTAAATTTCGAAAAAAATTAAGTTTTTCGACAAAATGTTTTTGTACTAGGATGAGGTGGTTTTTCGGTCGTATCGAAATTGGCGTTTTTCGCAAAACTGCAATGGAAACACTTTTTTCGCATCACTGGAGTCACGTGATCAACAACCGTCTGTTTCTACTGGTGAAAAAGACGATGATGAAGAAGATAACAGGAAGTAGAAGTAGTAGTAATATCACAGAAGTAGTATAAAATAGTAAACTCACCGACTACAATTTCCCAAAAACACAGCATACGTAGCCGCTCCCAAGTAGGGACTTGTCTCTGGAAAGACTCGATAAAATACGCCGACGTCTCCTCTGATGATGAGCGCTAGTGTCGTGGTAGCAACATGCTATGTGTTTACATCCATCGCTGCCATGTTTGTAATGACTTATCGCAAGAACAAACGTATTCATGTGACTTTAATAACATTTCTTACTTAATGGAAACACTGCAGTTGCGAAACTGTGTTTTTCGACATTAACAGAATATCGATAAAGTTTTGCGAACATTTGCTATGGAAACACAGCTTATTATCAGTCTATACTTTTCCATGAACGATTTGCATCACCACTTTTACCTTGTACATATGCACTACTTAAAATTAGTTTAAAGTATCACACAAAAATAAACTTGCCATCTCGGTTAGACAGCAGCTGCACCAGACCGTTCAAGCATGTGTCCCTCACTTCACCAATGTTAGTCGCACACCGGCCAATAGCTTGGATTGTTGCAGCCACAAAATCTTTGTCCATGCTTTTAATGTATGTCTGTCAAAAAAGAAAAAAGGGAAAACAATTACATCCAACACATAAAGGAATCATATTGCTAGCGTATTCAGTTCTCTGTACCTGAAATTCTCTGAGAATGGTGGAAATGTTTGTCTCATTGGCCAAATTGGTAAGAACCTCCAGCTGAAAGTAAAAGAACAGAAATATAAGATTTCCACAAATTTGCATAAAAACTTTTATTTTTTTTTTAAAAACTGAGAGAAACCTTGAGAACTTTGATCTGAGTTGGGTCTGTGGAACGAATGTAGAAGCTCTTCAAATATGGTTCAAACATGCCCTAAAAGACAAAGGATAGGAAAATCCCACAGATCTTTCAGCACTTAAAGCTACACAATTCCAAAAAGCTGATGTGCCTGAACTGTTCAGCTTACCCGTCTTTTAATCGTCATCGTTGCCACATTTTGAAGAACGACAAACTGGACTTCACTGATTGAAGAGAAATTATTTATTATTATTTTATAGTTAAACAGTTGTATTAAATGAAGTAATTTTCTCAGTTTCCATTTATAACCCGGGGTTATCAGTTTTGACCACAGTTCTTTACAGCTCTGGAGTGAATGGGTGACCACTAACAATGCCCTGCCATGAAAGAAGCTCTAAGGTTCTGAACGCTGTAATCAAGTTCAAATGAATATTATACATCATATTTTGCAACCAACACACTCTAATTTTTCCTTTGTGTGAATGTTATTTAATTAACTTATGACCCTTAAAAAAATACAGTAAAATAGCCAGACCAAAAAGAAAATGAGTGGGTTCTTGATAGGGCTGCCAACTGACCCCTAAAATATGTATCACCCCATACTGAAACCTAAAAGAAAAATACTGTACTTTACTTTGTTCCATATTTTTAAGCGTCAGGATAAATCCATTTAGATGTGTTTCATAAAATAGGTAGGTCTATTTAGCCGTGTTTAAAGGGAGACTATCATGCTCTCCTTCAAGCTGTCTGTTATTTTTCATCAGTTTGAAAAATTTTATCAGTCACTGGGCAGAAGTGTTGAGTTAGGTTGGTTTTCCACTGATGTTCCAGTCCGGTTCCAATGGGTGTGTTTTGGGCAGTTGGTGGAGGTGGTTTTTAGGTATTTTGAAAAAAAAAATTAATGGGCAAAATGAGAGATGGAAACACGTTTGATGAATAACTTTTGAAATTTTAATCATTTGAAAAAATTTAGCCAATCAGTGACGAACAGTGTTCTGACGTCGCATTTTGGTGTCATCTGGGGCTGATTGGAACCACAATGAAGTAGGTACTAAAAAAAGTGCCGGTTCCATGGATCTGGCCTAAATGGAAATGGCCTGGAACCAGACCGAACCGTACCGACACTAGTGGCACTAGTGGAAAAGGGGCATTAGTGGCCAACATCTGATGAGAGAAGCAGTGCCCATTGGGTTTCTAGAATATGCATAACTACAGCATTGATGTAAAAAAAATACAAGAAAAAAATACAAACCTGAAAATTTACAGAGAATATAATAATAATTCAAAAATATTTCAAATCCTGGCCTGGGGACCTTTCTGGGTAGAGTTTGCATGTTCTCTCCGTGCATGCGTGGGTTCTCTCCGGGTACTCCGGCTTCCTCCCACAGACCAAAAACATGAC